TAAAAATAGGTAGATTGTAAACTCGGCCCGGAAATTTCAGGTAGTAAAATAAATCGATTGTAAACTCGGCCCGAAAACATACATAGGAGAAGATTCTATGTTTCCACCTGAAATGTGGGCCAGTGCATCAGTTGAAACGTATTTAACAACAAATGCATGTGAATCATTTCATGCGCATTTTAATTCAAGTTTTAATTCCACTCACCCCAATATATATTCCGTCATTTCAAAATTAAAAGCTCAAAAATGTGGGTTCTGAAATTAATTTGGATTTAGTTAGGTAGTTGATAATTTTAGGACTTAAAAAATTGAAATTGTTTAATATTTTCAAGATAATTATTCAAAATAAATTAAAAATACTGAAAAACTTAAGCTAGTTTAAACTAAACTAGTTTTCAGTAAAATAAAATTTGTATTTTTAATGTAATTTAAAAAAAAATAATTGTAGTGACTTGCTAAAAAACAGTAAAAATATTTTGAAAATGTTGTGTTCTATTATAAACATCAGGGGAAATTTAAAGTATTTATCGAATGTAGGCACAAATTTTAGTATAACAATAAATTTATACAAATCTATTGAATATCACTAATTTCTTTTCTAACTTATAAAAATAAATGATAAAGTTATTTCATTCATACAAAACATAATATTAGTCTAACAATGTAAACTGTATTATATTGATTTTTAAATATATATTTAACATAATGTATGTAAAATAGAGTAGGTACCAATAATGGCATAAAAGGTTACCAGTAGGTCTAAAATCACCGCTTAGTTCAAACAAGTTCAAAGAATCTACTAAGATAAATAATATTTTAGGGTATAAAACATAACTATAAAATAAATATTTAGGCACTATGATTTAAAAATAACAAAGTTTTATAGATTTAAATACTTGACGAGTCAAAACGAAAAAATCCAAGACTGTAGAGATTCTATTGGCGTTAATAATGGCTCTTGAAAAAAATGAATTTTTTCCACTATTAGTATTAAAATTAGGTGTATAGAACAAATCAGAATTACGTGTAAACCTACTAGGGATTCTAAATCCAATTAAATTTAAAATAGCTGGGCAGTTTATATTATTATTTAAAATATCATAGACAAACATTATATCAATTAAATCATGCCTGGTGTTAAGAGAGTCAATACCTATAGAGTTTCTATTAATAAAACCCAAAATTTTATATGCATTATTAATAATTTTTTTTGATTAATTTTGAAAAACAGATCAGATTCAAAACAAATACCTAAATCTGTAATAGAAAAACATCTTTCAAGAATATGGTTATTAATAAGATATTAATGAAAAACAGGACTTTTAATATGTGAGAAAGTTATAATTTTAAATTTATCATAGTTTAAGGATAAATAGTTTCTTTTACTCCATAACACAAGTTTATTTAAATTGGTTTGCAACAAATATTGGTCAACAACATTTTTGATTTTACAGTAAATTTTAACATCGTCAGCAAACATCAAAATGTTTACTGAATTATCTAAAATAAGAGGAAGATCATTAATAAAAATAATGTATAATGATGATCATTTATCATTTGTGTCTAGTCTACAATCATTTATTTTGATTGGAATCTCGTAAAAGTAATTATGTTTGATATATAAATATTTAGCCACAGCCATTTCTAAATACTTGAAATAATATTATCATTAAATATATTATACTCACATGACAGCTTGTCATGTTTATTGGCACATTTATTGCCCTAACCACAAGAATCCGCTCAAGTAAAATGTATAAATTGGATTCATATTGAAAAACATGAAAACAGATATAAAATTAAATTTAATAGTAGGTAACTGAGAAAGAAAATTTTATTTTTTCATAGATTTAAAATGCTTATAATTTGTTTTAAAAAGATTAGCAGAAAAAGTGACAGCTAATTTGATAATAGATAATTTTAGGTATATAGGTAGTTTTGATTTTTCAATTGTGAGCTGTTTTAGTTTTACATAATAATGTAGTGACATTCCAAAATAATTATTTGATTTATAAAGTTTGAATGTCATGAACAAAAGGCATTTTAAAATTGATTGTAGGTATATGCACCAACTAGATTCGTTTTCGCATCTAACAAGATACCGAAGTTTAAAATTGGAAAATTATTTAGTCTAACTATCGTGTACACAGATACAAAAAAGAAAATTTAAAAATTTAAAAAACACACATCCTTTTAAAACCAATACATACATTGCTACGCTTTGAATTTAAGGTTCAACATTGTATTCTGGTTGCGCCTATCAGCTGATGCACAACAATAGGCAGCACTGCTTTAAGAGAGGATATTGTAATATTAGGAATGTATTAGTTGTTGTAGAGAACTGTATAGTTAAGGGAAAGTAAGAGATTTTAGAATTTGGCATCAGTGATACAATTTAATACTATATTTATGATTAGGTAATACTTTATAATGGGTGAATATTGAGAGTAAATAATAGATCTAATAATTATTACTATGATGGCCTGGTTGGCTCAATGCAAAATAAGTGATACATAAAATAATTGTAAGTATCAATATAATAAATATAATAAATAATAAGGCTTGTCAGCCGATTACCTGCAGAAACTGGCGTCAGTTGGTGGCTTTGAACCGGAACACTATACCCAGTAAACATGTCAAGGCTACGAGACGTCAAACTTGGGTATATATGTCTATGTGGAAGTCTCGAATGTCTATGAATTATTTACGTCTAGTAGAATACTTCTATTAGACATATAAAACAATGATTATTGTAAACGTATTTTTGTAGGTAGCATAATTATGTATAATAGACGTATTATATTAAGATTTTATAGCTGCTTGGCGCTTGCCGCTATAGCACTATAGCAGCACTGGTGCTGGACATGGTGTGCGGCAGCCGGCAACAGCTGTAGTCTGTACTACTCACGGACTATATAGATATATCTTAGTCCGTGGTACTACTGTAGCAGACTGTAGTACGTAATTTTTAGTGGAGGGGCGCTGTATCTCACTATCAAATTTTTATCAATAAATAATAATTTAAACATTTTAAACTATAACGGCCGCAGATAATAATAATAATTATTGTTATGTCTTATGACGTGGTTTTCTCACCGTGACACACTGACACTATATAGTAAATAGTTAATAATATTATTATATTGCTTATTAATTTATTATTAGTTTAATGTGGGTATTTTGTTATTTAATTTATCGTTTGTCAGAATGTCTGATAACCCTCGTCAATCGCGCTTATCGCACTACTTAAGTGCAGTACAAATTTGTACTTTGTGTCCACGTATTGTGGTTCGAACCAAAATGATCATTTTATTCTGTGAGTGCGTCCTGGAAGTATACGGTATACGACATCAAGACATCAAGATCAGCTTCACACCAAAATTTAAATTGATTTTGTAAGTATGCCTAAAAATCCTTATAAAGATTTTAATCACTTAGGTCGAGCTCAACGTTATAGACGATTAAATGGTATAAATAAACTAAACGGCCCTAAAATATTAAAAGGTACTGCAGCGCCACCACATTTAGTTGAAAATATTG